TGTGGAGAGTCCCCACAAGGAGAGCTGGCCAGACATGTGTGTGTGTGTGTGTGTGTGTGTGTGTGTGTGTGTGTGTGTGTGTGTGTATTTCCCAATTGTGATACAGGATTTGCTATTCTCAGAGAGTTAAATGTTCATGTTATATTTTGATTGCATTTGTGAGTTAATAAAAATGTAACTGGTGGTACAAAATAAGCACATAACATTGTTATGTGGCTGTACTAATTACAGACCCCTGAATCTAATAATATCATAATCGTATTGTGGTTTTGAGGTAACAGAACATATTATATCGCTGGCTAGGAGCTATCAATATCAGATCAATCAATATCACAACAAATTGTGATGAAACATTCGAATTACACCCCAAGTTATCATACTGAATATAAATTATGCTCATAGGCATATAAAGCATATAAATTAAAAATAATAGCACATAGTTTAAATGAAGGTATATACAATGTAGCTCATATTAAATAATGAACAACACTATTACAGCATTTAAAGTTGCATAACAACATAAAACAATGCATTATGAACAAACATCCATTAACAATAAGCAATAGCATATTTATAAATTAACATTAGCCTAAAATCTAACTTAAAATAAAAATAATAATTTTAGTTCATCAAACCTAAAGCATAAAACTAAGCGATATCCATTTTTTAATTAAATTAATCTGTATTTGAATAAACAGATACGTCTGCACTGAATAAAATATAAGATTCATATTTAACAGCATTATGAGTGTGCCTATGATGCCTAAATAAGTTGCCTAGGTAGACAACTTCTGCAGGTTTTAAAACAGAACTTCTCGAAATGATGCTGGCACAGAGACAACCCTCACCTTCTGAAAGTTGTGGTTGGTGCTGAAATGGTGTTCGCACTGCATCATGTCAAAGAAGATGGGGATGGTGGCTTTCCTCAGCTCAGGCTCAGGCACTAACGTGGCTTCCAGGATCGGCCCCACCATTGCAGGGATGAACTTCATCTTTTGTTGGCCTGAAAGTGACAAACACCCAATGACATCACAAAACAGCCAAAATTCCTTCAGAACTTCAAAGAAATTAAATATGCACTCTGTCTCAGCTTGCAAAGACAAACACTACAGTAGTGATTTCACTCTCCATAAAAGGCAGTTTTAGGACATTCTGTAAAAATTCCTCTTTACATTCGACACTTTTGTAATTGTGGTCACTGTCTCTAACAGATAAGAAGCACAGGAAAAAGCTTTTACCAAGATTGTACCACATATCTCTCAGCTTGAAGCCGATGCTTTTCCGCATGTCTCCGTACCTGTTTACATTTTTAGAAACTCAATTTAAGTTGTCGGCCTTTCAAATAAAATGAACAAAAACCAACACTTGAACTCTAGAAAAACAATGTACCCGCAGGTCTCTAACTCACTTGTTGAGAATCTTGTTGCGCTTCTCGAGCGAGAAAGTCTCCAGCTGCAAGGACTTGTGGGTGAGGAAGGCAACAATCAGGTGAAAATAGTTGTTCCAAAGCTATTGAGGAAGAACAACAGGAAATAATCAGGACAAAACAATTTCCTGAGCACAAAATAGACACAAAAATATAAGAATATGGCAAAGATTAAAAAAATTCCGTGAGTCTTTACAGTAATTTCCTGCATTTGATGTCACCATGGTGTTCCAGCAAAGTTTTGGTGTTACCATGGTATTAGGGTATATAATCAAAGTACTGCACGAACAATGTTTAATACTTATGAACAATAGTGAACTTATTAAAAACAGGATGTATTGAGGGAAACTAGTATTTACGACTTCATTGTTTCGAGAATAGAAATGTCCTTGTTCTATTACTGCAACACAGAGCTAGAAATTCACTTGGGTTTTCTGTCAGAAATATAGGCAGATGTTTTGGGTTACATAAGCACAGATGAGTAAGACATGGCCTTGCTTTGATTACTTAGACAATTAGCCTGTACTGATATACCGTAATGCATTTGCTTTTTTAATCGACTGAGGTCTTACGGGTGAAATACTTCCGATGCACAGGGTGTTGAATGAATGGTAACCAAGCAACAGAAAGTTTAGCAGTTGGGTATTTTTCGAAAGCGGTATCTCTTTTCCCAAAAGATCATCACAAATGAACATCATAAAAACATGTTATATAAGATCATGCAACAGAAAGTGTTCATATGCTTCATAGAAAATGCCCTAACATTACTCTCCTGGAAAACAATTACATGCACAGAACAATTGCTCACTCAGTGCATGCAGAGATACTCACAGTGCAGATTATCTGTGGTCAAATCACTACTGCAAACCTTACACAAATAGAACATTAAAGGTTTTATTGTTTTATTTTAATCTTTGTGGTCTTATTATAATGTTTGACAGGTTTTTGTTTTTTTTGCACCAAAAACATGACCATTTTCTACAATCTCTCAGACCCATAGGATTCAAAATTATATAAATTCCCTGCTTTCATATTAAATGAGAAACAGCGCTTTGCTGCGCTTACACATGGTGTGGTTGTGGGATTGCTATTAGGTTTCATAGATTATGTCACGAATCCGGTCCATGAACTTCCGTCTGCTAGCCATCAGAGGTCACCCTTTCCATTTTCATTGACTCTCGCACTACACCCTGTTGCATATCACCCCGGACTACATATCCCATCATTCATTGCACTGATTGCACACAGCACTGATTGCACACAGCACTGATTGCACACAGCTGTTTCATATGGCTCACTCCCTATTTAACACTCACTCTGATCCCTTCCCTCTGCCGAGTATTGTTTAGCGTTTATCACTCCACTAGCGATAGCTACACTACGGAGCCTGTTTAGTTTGTCATAGCCTCACCTTAGTCTTGCCTTGTCTGTGTTCTCGTTTCTTGATCTTCGCCTGTGTCTCTCGGATTCCTCCTCTCGTTTGCCCTATTTGGTTTCTGTTTGCCCATCGTTGACCTCCGCTAGCCTTAGGTTTCTTCTTGTGTCTTGCCCGCCTTATACCTGTCTGCCATTCTCTGACCCATGCCTGTTCTATGACCACGTCTCTGTCTTCTGCTAATAAATAGCTTGCACATGGATCCGCATGTCTCAAGTCTTGTCAGCCCCGTAACAGATTACATGGTGTGACAAAATCCATGCTGAAAACCTGATGGTCCAAGGCACGTAATATTTAATGATCTAGAACACATTAAAATGAGCTTTAATCGATTTAATGAATATGATGTTTAATTTCTGGTAGAAACAGAACCATAGGTTTACATTTATGCATTTGGCACACCCTTTTATCTAAAGTGACAATTACTCTTTTATTTACCTCTTTTAACCATTCTGTCAGATGTAATTTTGATCACAACCATACCAACACTCTGGTTTATGGGATATCATTGCTTCTGAAAGATCTGTGCTGCCATTCAACAGTCAACCAAATGAAGTATAGGCAGGACTTTGCAGGCAGGATGTTGTGCAAACATTGGATTTGGATGTGTCTTGATGGCTTTCTGCCTCAATTTACTGCCTGTGAAAGCAGCGTTCTTCAAATTAAGGATTCAGCAGTGCTGTTTTTAGGATTGGGATGGAAACACAAGTTCTGATAATTACAGTATGGCTAGTACAATGGACTCCTTTATCTCAGAAGATCAAGGAAAATATTCCTCATGGTACAGCCTTTTACCTACAGACAACTTTCATTCATTTCTTATCCAACACACCAGTACCGTTCTTTAATGGTTCATTAACAATTCTTTTAGTAATTTTAAGAAATTTATATTTGAAAAAAAGAAATGCAATTCTTTGCAAATGGGATTTTTAAAAAATATAGCAAAAGGTGTGTTTACATTAATATTTAATGACTTATCACAATCTTTTTTGGTCTTTATTTCACATTCTAATTGGCCTTAACTGTATATTAAATAACGAAATTAAAACAAAAAAGCGGCAACACAATTTATTTTTTTTAAATGCCACTGAGAAAACAGTGTCTCTTCAACCCACACTGACGTACGAACAACCAGTCAGTAACTAACTGCACTATTTAAGCCTCACAGTTAGTTGTATGTGTTAGATTCACTATAAATAAATTATTTATAAGAGTCATTACACAAATTACACTGCATGTTTGGGGGCTGTAAGATTTTTAAATGTTTTTGAAAGAAGACTTTTAGCATAAAAGGATGTTTATTTGATTAAAAATAAACATAAAATAAAAATAAATAAGTAAAATCAGTAATATTCTGAAATATTACAATTTCAAATAACTGTTTTCTATATGAATATATTTTAAAATGCTATTTATTTCTGTAAAGTCACTACTCCAGTCTTCATGATCATTCAGAAATCATTCTGATATGCTGATTTGCTGCTCAAGAAACATTTTATTGTTTATACTATCAATGTAATGAAAACAGATTCATATTTTTGTAGAAACTGGGATGTGTTTGTTTTCAGGATTCTTTGATAAATAGAAAGTTAAAAAAGAACAGGATTTATTTAAAACAGAAATCTTTTGTAAATTACAAATGCCACTTATCACATTAATGCATCTTTACTGAACAAAAGTATTAATTTCTCTTACTGACCATAAACGGTAGAGTAAAAGAACAATTCATAAGTGCTATCAGACAACACTGGCCACCAAATATGTTCCAGTTGGAAAAATGGAACTGGTTCTTATTCAGTTGCCAAATATTTGCAGTGCTTATAGGAGCAACATTGGTATTCACTGCTGTTTAAGGCATTGTTTTAAAAAAAAAAAAATGTATTGCTTCCATTTACAACAAACAAACAAGGTACATAAACGTATCACATAATCTAACAACGCGTGACCAGCCTTAGGTTGAGCATAACCAGTGACAAACAAGATCACAATAAACCAATAATAAATAAGAAAAGAAATGAAAGAAAGAAATAGAACAAATAAAACAAACCAAAAGGGGCTTTTTACCTTAGTTTATACATGCCTCAAAAACGAAATTAATTTGAGAGCTTTCTTGTTTTTAACCAATTCTAAAGATTTGCACAACATTTTAACCTCATTCATCCACTGGTTAAAGTTGGGTTTAGATTTAAACCATCTACATTTATGAATGAAAAACTTTCCAAGACAAAGCAAGAAATTAATAACAAAATCCCGCTCTTTGTTTTCCAGACAAATGCCAATCCTAATTAACTTCATCGTAAGGGGTGGGAGTTCAACCTCTCTAGACTGTAGCCAGTTCTGTACATCTCTCCAAAAAAGTTGCACCAAATCACAACAAAAGAAAACATGCTCTAGATTTGCAATATTCGTTTCACAAAAAACACAATTATTATATACACAATCAATTAAATTTCAGTCTTAAAAATTCATTGGTAGGATAAATCTCATTAAACATTTTGAAGTTCACCTCCTTAACTTTAGGAGGAAGAGGAAAAGATATATAGCTTTCCCTAACTTTTTAAATTTCCATAATATCAAAATCTTTGAGCATGTATTCCCTTCTAATAGGGTTAGGATAATAAGCCTGTAAAATAAAATCTCTAATGACTCTATTTGTAAAATTTTTATCACAAAAATCATAACCTTCTAAGGAGAGCTGTCTAAGTTCTGGGGAGACTTTGGAGTACAAAATGTCTTCTTTAACTATTAATCTTACAGCAATTGGAATGGCTCTAATTATTCTATTATACGTATTAACAGAGCACTGCAGTTGGAATTTTTCACAGAATTCTCTATACAGTAACAAATTTCCATTATCATCCAAGAAATGGGCAATCGCCCAAATTCCTTTGGATTTCCATTCCTCAAAATATACTGACTTTCTGCCAGTCTTTATATATCTATTATTCCAAACTGGAGTGTTGTGAGGTGTGAAGTTATGTTTGTATCTCTTCTACTAATTTCTGGTTTTGAATTGCATTGTTAAAGCCATAAACATTCATCAAAATGAAAAAAAGAACATACATTTTCAGTACCACCATCAACCAATGACCGCTTCCATCCTCTTTATGAGTGATAACTTCCCCAGGACATTTGTTAAAGCATATTGCCACTCCTCCAGAACGATTAGAACCATGACTGAAAAAAATCTTGTCACCCCATTGATTAGTCCAGAAAGAGGTATCCAAACCCGAAGAATGAGTCTCTTGTAGAAATACACAATGAGCTTTCTGTCCTTTGCAAAATAAAAAAAAACGCTTTTCTTTTAACAGTGTCCTTTAAGCCCCTAACATTCAGAGAACCAAATACAATTTTGTCCGTAATCATTAACACTAAAACGGAAAAATGGAAAAACAAAAACAAATAGTAAATAAAAGCACAAATTAAACCACCCCTTGTGAATTCACACTCTTACTCTATGAACCTTAACTTACAAATAGAGCTCCAGTGTCCCACTGAAAAGGTTTCCAACTACCAGTCAATTAGAAACGAAACACTTCACCCGTCAAAATATATCCGTCGACCTTCAATGAAGCCATAAGGACCGCGAAAAAACGCCGGTTTTCCTGCCCTCCTTGCTTGTTCAATTTGAGGCCATAACTTTCGTCTGTCTTCCAAATCTTCTCGAGGAAGCATCTCGGCAAATCGAACTCCCTCCGCCTTACAGACCGGTGAATGTTTGGTTCTCCGCCAGATTTCATCTTTCACTCGCCTTTGCGTGAACAGTACAATGGCATTCCTGCTTTTTGGTCCATCTTTCTTCCCAGCCTGTGGACAATGTCAACAGCCTCATGCATCTTTGCGTCCATCTCAGGTGCAATCTTACCGAGGATTTGTATGACATGTGATCTGAGGTCTTCGTCTTTTTTTTCTTCTATGCCTTTGATACGGAGACACCACCTCATTCTATATCTTTCTTGTTCTCTCACCCTCTCCTTAAGATCACAATTATCCTTGCGCAGATGTTCATTTTGTATCTCCAAGTCCTTTACTCTTTTCTTGCACTCATTCACCTCTTCCGTGTTGAACTGAATCGCCTTCGTTAAACTTGCAATCATGGCGCTACTTTGTTTAGATTGCTCACTTAAATCCGCCAGCTTCTCATCCACTCTCTTTTCCAGATTTAAGATTGCCTCCAGAATGGTTTCGTTGGAGATTTTATCTTTCTCTCTGTCAGCTGTTGGCTTAACACTTTCCTCCGCAGGAGTTTTACTTAGCGTTGAAGGAAGGGAGCCGTCTCCGCGATTTCTTTTACTTTGCACAGTAACCTCCATTGCATAGTCGTGCAGCATTACTTTAGCCTCATCATTCTTTTCGATATTAGGCGACAGATCTAGCCCTTTGGGGTCTACTTGTATTTCTGAGCCTAAGACAAATTTCCCTCAGGGACAATAAAGTGTACCTAACCTAACCTAACCTAACCTACTTTTAGCTTGGCAGGTTTAATAAATTTTTGTGAAGACATCTTAACATTAAACAGTCGGAATTACTTACTTCAAGCTAACTTTGGGGACCACTATCACGAGCTTCGAAAAACACAACCGCTCAACCCGCCATCTTCGCACCCCCCCGTTTAAGGCATTGTGGCTTGGGCAATATAGAAGCATGACTGTGTTTCCGGCAATATAATCTCGGTCTTGCCTGAAGCGTAATTGTGTACTTGAAACCCCTATACAGTCCTCGTTAAACTGACCTGCAAGTGGAAGTGTGTGGAGTCCAGGAAGTATCTGTTGAGAACATCTGAGTACTGGTCAATCGCCCGGAGAAAAACTTTCATTTGGTGAAGATTCAAGATCATCCAGTCGGGCGGAAACACGTTGCCCATCAGGTTTTTGAACATGATGAAAGTCTCCATTAGAAAGTCCTAGTTGGGAGACAACAAAAAAACACAGATTCTTGTTGTTACGAGCATGTATGTGCATGTCGAGGAAAACTATGATTAGATGCAGACCGGCAAATTACATTTGTGCTACGCACAGACATGCCTGATCAGGAAAAAACAGATGCTAATTTGAAGCTGCGCTTATCTTGTTCTGCTATTAAACCCTGACTCACTTCGACAGACGACAGGGAACAGAGCCACATGCGTCGTTATCAGTCAGCTGAGCAAAAGGTGGATTATTTATAACTTAACTCTCAGAGCACGAAAGGCTCTGCGATGATAGATGGGGCTTGCGGAGAGAGCGGGAGACTTACGATAATGTCCTGTCTGGTTTTGAAGGTGCTGATGTATTGTGCGTAATGCGCGTCTTCCATTTGTTTTAGGATTGCGGTCATGCATGCCAGGTAGTGGCCCTGTGTCCAGAGGAAGAAAAGAAATAATCAATAACTTTACATGTGCTGCCCACTCCGCTGAGAAAACTCATAGCCACGGGCCTGGGTAAAGAAATAAACAAGTTAAGTTCAGTGGTCCAGACTGCTGTTGTTATGACTTTCAGCAGGTGTGTGTGGGCTTCGGTGCTGTGTGGTCGAAACAACAACAGCTTTGACAGGAAGGTAAGCTGATTTAACTCTGCTAAATCTTTCTAGAACACTCCATATTGTTGTCTGCCGGTGTCTTACTATGAAGGGAGAGTCCAAACTCAGGTTGATGACCGTACGGTTGACCCTCCGCAAGAGACGGTCCACAATTAACTTCACATGAGCGGATGTGGGACCCTGAAAGCATAAAAAAGGTGAATGAGATGCACTGAAGGATTCTTGAATGCATGGTGGATGAACCCAGAAAGGACTCTCTCTCATAAACAAAACTTAAAATGACCTTATTTTGGAAATTTGCAAGAGATGCTCACGAGTCGCAAGAGTTTGACCTGAAATGTCTGCCTGTCTCAATACAATATCAACTGAAATGTCAACCAATCTTGAATGCACTGTCATATCAACAAGCCAGCGAAATGCATCATGGTTGAAAGATCAGCTTGTCTGTATTCCTTCAAAAAAGTAATTCACTGTCTCATGTAGCTAGACTTTTCACCAGGAAGTTGCTTTTGCTCACCAAGGAAGCATTTATTTACTTAAAAACAGTAATACTGTGTAATATTATTATAATTTTAAATAACTTTTTTTCATTTTCCAGTTCCATTTTCCATTTTTTGCTGGAAATTGTATTTTTATGAAGATAAAGTACATGGAGATATAAATTAAGAAATAAATATAAAACACTTATTATAATGTACTTATTAAATAGAAATGAAATATAGTCAGTAAGATTTTTAAGATATATTAACACTTTTGTTCAGCAAGGATGCATTAAATTGATCAAAAGTGACAGAAAAGACTTTTACAAAACATTTATTTTAAATAAATGCTGTTCTTTCTATTAATTTAATTATATTCAATTATTCAGTTTTGCCATCATAGGAATAAATTACATTTTAGAGTATATTAAAATACAAAACGTGTTGGTGTAATAATATTTCAGAACACTGCTGTTTTTATTGCATTTTTTAATCAATCAAATGCAGCCTTGATGAGCATAAGAGATTTTTCAAAATATTATAAAAATCTTACCAACCCCTTAATACATTTTTTGCATGTACAGGTGCATCTCAATAAATTAGAATGTCGTGGAAAAGTTCATTTATTTCAGTAATTCAACTCAAATTGTGAAACTCGTGTATTAAATCAATTCAATGCACACAGACTGAAGTAGCTTAAGTCTTTGGTTCTTTTAACTGTGATGATTTTGGCTCACATTTAACAAAAACCCACCACAAACTCACCAGACCTGAACACCATAGAGAATCTATGGGGCATTGTCAAAGGGGAAAATGAGAAACAAGAGACCAAAAAAATGCAGATGAGCTGAAGGCCACTGTCAAAGAAACCTGGGCTTCCATACCACCTCAGCAGTGCCACAAACAGATCACCTCCATGCCACGCCGAATTGAGACAGTAATTAAAGCAAAAGGAGCCCCTACCAAGTATTGAGTACATGTACAGTAAATGAACATACTTTCCAGAAAGCCAACAATTCACTAAAAAAAACATTGTTATTGGTCTTATGAAGTATTCTAATTTGTTGAGATAGTGAATTGGTGGGTTTTTGTAAAATGTGAGCCAAAATCATCACAATTAAAAGAACCAAAGACTTGAACTACTTCAGTCTGTGTGCATTGCATTTATTTAATACACGAGTTTCACAATTTGAGTTGAATTAGTGAAATAAATGAACTTTTCCATGACATTCTATTTTATTGAGATGCACCTGTATTACAAAAAAAAATATTTATAGCAAATATTAAAAATGCATAGCTAAAATCAATATGTATCATTCTTTTGTGGTGGGGCCAGTGAAAGTGTTCAAAGGGTAAGTAAAAATGACTGGGGCAACACAAAAAAAAAATCCTTATTGTTAAGCCATGACTGAATAATTCATTGGGAATGTGTAAACACGTCTCCGTTTCCCAGTGGACTGATAAAACCGGTACACCCTGACTCCTGGAAATTGCATAAAGCCAACCAATTAGTTTGGTTCCTGTGGTTTTGCTCATCAGATAGTCTGAGGCTGAGATAAGGATAAAGTTAATCATAACTGGCTGAAGTTGTTAGGCATCCTCAACTGCATCAAACTCACCACGTCTTTACAGTCCAGCATGTCCAGGACGGTGCTCAGCAGCTGGACACAAGCCTCAAGATCGGGTTTGTTGGAGTTATCGTCCAGCTGCCCACTCAACTGATCTGTGATCAGAGGCAACAAAACATCTCTGCAGTCTAAAAGCACAAGAGAGTATATGAGAGGTGTGGATGACACACAGCTTTTAGTGCAAGTCGATGAGAAAAAATGATATGCTGACCTGAACGACTGTCAAGTCCTACCTGGCTGTTTGAACAGGTTACTCTCAACAATTTTCACCAGACAGCCCAGCTTCTGCCTCACCATCTGAAAATCTGGGATGCTTTCGATGAACTTAGCCAGCTGAACACTGTGTGAGAGAGAAATGTGTTCCACGAAAATGCAAAGAGGAAACTATACAGCATGGAACAGAAACGAAGTCAGAGGGTAATTACGTGAAAAGAAAAGAAAGAACTGACATACATATTTTAACTCGAGGGTGAACATTTGAAATACAGTACACTCCCTACACATGTCTTCAAACAGAAGATTTTTACAAGCCAGATGTTAAGCAGTTTACCTAGGATCTACAGCATCAAAGACCTTCTGTAAGTCAGTGATGATGGCAGGAAGACAGCATACAACTTTAAAGCTCAAATAATAAACTGAATTAATCATGTAAGTGATTTAACAAAAATGCAAGCTTCACATTTCTGTTTTTTAACCATCAGGAACACTGGTGCAATTTATTTGTAATTATAAGTGCCTTACTGTAACCATGATTTATTTTTTTCTTATTATGGTAAACAAAAGTATGCCACAAATTTGTTTCTAACCAAACCGGTGGTGATGCAAAGGCTAGATATTTTCATAGCAATGTGAAATACATCATTCACTTTACCTGAGCTCTACAGCGTCAAAGACCTTCTGCAAGTCATTGATGATGGTGGGAAGATATTTCAAGATTGCTCCCTGTAAGACAAACAGAGAAAGTTCACTACATATATAAAGAAAACAATAATATTGTGAAATATTATTACAATTTAAAACAAATGTTTTCTATTTGAATATATTTAAAAATGTAATTTATTCTTGTGATGCAAAGCTGAATTTTCAGCATCATTACTCCAGGCTTCAGTGTCACATGATCCTTCAGAAATCATTCTAATTTGCTGCTCAAGAGACAATTCTGATTATTAATGTTGAAAACTGTTTAATATTTTTGTTGAAAATGTGATATATTTTGTTTTTCAGGATTCACTGATGAATAGAAAGCACAAAAGAACAGCATTTATTTGAAATAGATATCTAAATATTTTTAATATCGCTTTTGATTAATTTAATGCATCTTTGCTGAATAAAAGCATTATGTACTTTAAAAATAAAAAAACTAACTTTTCAACATTAGTGTAAATCTTTTACAGACCTCTGTGTTCACAAATGGTATCTGTAAACATTGCTTCTAAACATTTATTGTATATCCATGTAAAAAAAAAAAACCTGCCTTTATCTTAACTCCTTCATCCAGAGGTCTGTCCATCAGAATGCTGATAGAAAGAAATAAGGTCCGAATGGAGTCGAGAAACTGCCCTCCATCTTCACTATTCCCATAAAACCTGACAAACAACAGAAAAAAATCTGAGAAAAAATGTAAAGAACATTTGAGTGGAAACATCAGCACAATGATTTTAGGGTGTTGTGGATGGATGCCAGGGCGTTAAAAATCATTTCATAACAGTGTGAGATGAGTTAGGCATTTATTCAACTCCATTACCCTATCTATTGATCTATCTATCCATCTATCTATAAACACGCTGCATATGGATGCATGTCATCTAATAATGCATTAAAACAAGCTGCTTTCTAGAAAGGTTTAGAGATTCAAAAATGTATTTGAACCAATGCTCTTGATTTAATTGCCTTTGCTGAGATTCAGATGGAGGTCCCACTGCCCCATGTGTTTGTGCAGAGATAGAAGCAAGTGATTTCTAAAGTGTTTTTTTTTTTTTTTTGCTGTTGCTTTTTCATTTTTGCATTGTCAGATCAAGGACAAGTTCAATCAAGCCCTCTTGAAAGCTATATTTGAGAGCCTATAAGGGCCAGTACCCACCTTAAATAGAGAATCCGAGACTGCACAATGAAATGAAAAAGATACTTGAAGGCTTTCAAAGCTGCGTACAGTCGCTCCGTATGAGCCGGGTCCTCAGCATGGCCCACAAAATAATTCAACACTTTGGTCAACTTCCTGTGAAAAGACAAGGCAAACCGAGGCAATTACGGCATGCCTGCAAATCAATACACGTCACAACCGAGAATGTCACTGGACAGGTGTATATAGAGAACAGGTCAGAGACGGAGAGAGTTTTAGTATGAGATGGCAAGGTGAGAATTAAATGCGGACAAAAATGGCCAAGTTATATTAAAACACATGAACTGTGACACAAAGGACAAAGAAATCCAAACAAGACAGTAACTCTTACTGGTACGCCAGAGTAGCGCTGAAGTGTTTGCTAATGTAGGTCTCCAAAACAGGGTTGAAATGCTGAAACTTTATGTCGCCAATGAGTGAGATGATGAAAACCTGGACAAATCAAGCAAAAATACAAACTCTAGCTCTTCATTTTATAATCACTTAACTTATAAAGTTTCAAGAAAACATTTCATCTAAATTGAATTACTTTATAAATGTCTCTTATTTTGAATAATTCATCAGAAGAAAAACTGTTTTAATTGTATTTCATCAAACTGAAGTCTCAGCCTCTGCAAAACTTCAAAGGACTATGGGGCACAAACGTCACAAGGTCCGTCATACTCTATCCCAAATGTAATACAATTAACACAGTGGTTGAAAAAGTGGCTGAAATAAATTAAAATCACCCGAAATAAATAATGGTTTTCATAGACATCAAGCACACATCACATGGCGGAATAATCTGACCTGTATGTCTGTGAGGGGGAAGACATCCCACATGCAGATGGCGATATGGCGTGTTATGGTATTAAGGTTACTCATACGGATAACTAATGAAAACGCAATGACGCGGCAGAGTGCTCTTTATACAGTTTGTAACTTTAATGTATCTTTTGTGCAATGATTTGGTCCCAACAAGCTGCATGATTTGAAGTATCATGATTAGAAAAGTTAGACCAAAGTTTAATACTTGTTCAGATCCCGAACCCCAAGTGTGAGCAACAGTGTTGCTCACTCAGAACAATCTGCCCACACTATGAATTTTCATTTATGATTACTGGATAAGGATTTTTTTTAAAGGGGTCATATGATGCGATTTCAATTTTTCCTTTCTCTTTGGAGTGTTACAAGCTCTTGGTGCATTAAGAAGATCTGTAAAGTTGCAAAGACTAAAGTCTCAAATCCAAAGAGATATTCTTTATAAAAGTTAAGAGTCAGCCGCACCTACCTAAAACGGCTCGTTCTAACATGCCCCCACATGTCTACGTCACGATGTGGAAAGATTTGCATAACGCCGCCCAAATGTTCACGCAAAGAAAGAAGGCGTAACTTTGATTCTCGCTGTAGTACTGTTGTTGCCCTGTGTTTCGTTGTGAAAGCGAAACTACTTTGTTTGGTCTTCCAAAAGAGGACGATATCGGTATTCGGCCAATCACAACGCACTGGATAGCTGGCCAATCAGAGCACACCTCGTTTTTCAGACCGATGAGCTTTGTAAAAATCGACACGTCAGAGGAGAAACAATCATGTATAAAAAATACATAATTTATAGAAATATAGATTATAGACAATTGAAGATTTTCTTTATTACTTTTCATGGCTTTTCATACTTTTCATATTATTATTAATACTATTATTATTACCATTAATAATATTGTAATACTTTCTGTGACTCTTTAAATATTTTATTCTTAGTAGTAGTAATATTAGCTGAAATAAATATAAATATTAATACTAACAGTGTCATTCATATTTATATTTTATTTATTTATTTACTCTTTAGGGATATTATTATCATTAATAATAAATATGAATGTGATTATTTTTATTTATTAATAAAATAAGAAATAATAATTATGTATATTCATAGTAATTATCAATTATAATGATAAAATCTCAAAAAAATAAAATAGAAAAATCTAAAATAGAAAGTATATAATAATACTCATGTTACTATTACTATTATTATTATTATAAATAATCATATCAATATTCATATAATAATAATAATAATAATCTCTTTAAAAAAAAGTCATGAAAAGTAATAAAATATAAGAAAATCTATATTTTATAATCATGTATTTTTCTAGTTAGTAATAAACACATTTTTTATTTATTTATTTTATCCTTATTCACTAGTGAAAAGTCATAGTGTGGGAAGCTTTTTCCAAGTGAGCAACACTTTAACTGTTGCTCATGCTTGAGATTACAGATCTGAACAAGTATTAAACTTTGTTTTGCAACATTTCTATTTGTGATACTTAAAATCATATGGCTTGGTCCCTAATATATCCAGGTTTTACATTGCTGGAGAAACTCTATCATAAGCATAGGTTGGCAACTGCTGGATGTCTAAAGAGTGAGTTAAATAATCAATACTTGCCAAGGCATTGAAAACTAGTGTATCATAGGTTTCTTCCTCTGAAGTCTCCATCATGATATTAAAGAGAGCGTCCAGTGTGTCCTGCAGGAACTAGAGGAACACACAACAAAAACTTTTGATCATAAAGCAGCATTTTATAAAAGGCCAAGTGTTGTGTTTTCTAACAACCCTACTTTAATAATCTCCCCTCCTTCCACTTCCATCAGTTTCTGAAGAATTTCTTCAAGTCTCTCAGTGTTTGATCTCCAGTTGAGAAGCCCCAGAAGGTCAACTGAGTCGGAGGAAATAAAAAAAAGTTATAGAAAGCCAAGCACTGCAAGAACTCTGCAGTCTCAGACGGTTACATATAGCTTTTACAGTGATAGTTTAGACCAAAATAAAACTTTTGTAATTATCTACTCTCATCTCTCTTGCCGTTTCAAACCATATGATCTTTTTCAGAAGTTTTCAGAAGTCATGCGACAGCTTCAAATGTAGAAGGTAATTTGTGTAAAAACAATATCTACTATCTAAGTTCAATATGAAAGTGAAAGTGACGTGACATGTGGCCAAGTATGGGGAATTAGTGCTCTGCATTTATCCCATCCAAAGTGCACACACACAGCAGTGAACACACACACACACACACACCGTGAACACACACCCGGAGCAGTGGGTAGCCATTTTTGCTGTGGCGCCCAGGGAGCAGTTGGGGGTTCCGTGCCTTTCTCAAGGGTACCTCAGTCGTGGTATTGAAGGTGGGAGAGAGCGCTGTTCATTCACTCCCCCCACCTACAAGCCCTGCCGGTACGAGACTCGAACCCACAACCTTTGGGTTACGAGACCGACTCTCCAACCATTAGGCCACGACTTCCCCATATGCGGAGACATCAGCAAATGTCAGGTTTGCAAAGACGTGAAGACAAATAACAGAATCGTCATTTTGGGGTGAAATATAATTTTTGGGGAAAGGAAATGACTCTTACCGTTTTGTGTAAGCTTTGTAGAGCAGGTGAGGGTGGCGATCTGGAAGCTGTCTTTGGTGATGGGAATGATGCCACCATGATGAAAGGATTTTCCAGTCTGTCTCTCTTTCTCTTCCACTTCAGCATACGAACCAGGCAGAGTCAAATATGTCTTGGCGTCGTCAGCTTTCTTCACATCTACCTGTAGGAACAGAAGAGGAATTTGAAGTGACGCTACATGTTTGAGACATTGCTGCCCGGTGAAAGAGTACGATCACGTCACATGGAACAATAACATATACTGCAGGTATAAAGGGAAGTTCAAATTTTTTTGAAGAGATCTAAAGGTTACATGTCAAGATGAGTTTTAGCGACTAAAAAGCTTTCAGCAAAGAAAGTACACTACTTTTCAAAAATTATTTTTTTTTGAACAGAAATTAATCATTTTATTCAGCAAGGATGCATTAAATTTATATAAAAGTGACCGTAAAAGACACCTATAATGTTACAAAGCATTTCAAATACAGTAAATGCTGTTCTTTTGAACTTTCTATTCACCAGACAATCCTGAAAAAATATATCACGGTTTCCACAAAAATGTGAAGCAGCAAAAACTGTTTTCAACATTAATAATAATAATCAAAAATGTTTCTTGAGCAGCAAATCAGCATATTAGAATGATTTCTGAAGGATCATGTGACACTGAAGACTGGAGTAATGATGCTGAAAATTCACCTTTGCGTCACAGGAATAAATTACATTTTAAAATATATTAAAAACATAAAACAGTTATTTTAAATTGTAATAACATTTCATAAGTTTCTGTTTTACTGTATCAAATAAATACAGCATTGGTGAGTATAAGAAACTTTAAACGACCCCAAAGTTTTGAAAAGCATTTAAAGCTCAAGGTATCTTTTTTCCTATATTAAACTTTAAAGCACTATCCATCCAACAACAATTTCATTCATTTTTACTACAGCAATTATGGAGTAATTCTTCATTTAAAACAAATCTCAAACATCATGAACTAGCAAATAATGACAGAAGTTTATATTATTTCCTTTAAAAAAATATTTTTGTGTTCGGTGCAAACTAAGCTAAATCAACAGAACTTGTAGCATAATGTTGCGAACCCCAAAAGATTATTTGACAAAAAAACACTTTCCATCATTTAATGTAAAACAAATAGCAGAAATGTGAAGCTTAACGTTACATAAAAAAAATATTTACACACATTTTTCTGTTAAAACTTGTACATTAATTGAGCTGTACAGTGCTTCTTGCCACTTTTACATTTTATGTATTATGTTGTCATGGCAACAAATATGCAACACTGGATATAAAACCAGAAACAAGTAAATATGGTAATTTAACAAGTAAATATAAACTGGATATAATGTTGCACAGAAAAGGTTATTAGGCAATTATTTCACACTAAATTCATGATAACATGCATAATGTTTATATTTTATGGCTATAATTTCATTGCAAACTGCAAAAAAAATTTGCGACAATAGTATGCCACAAGTTCTGCCAATTGAGCTCAGTTTGCACTGAACCAAGAATGTTTCGTACAGAAGCCCACCTTGTAGACAATGAGTTCGTGTTTTCCATCTGGAAGTGTGGTGCCATCCGACTTCATCAGGCGAACAAAAGCCATGCCAAAAGGCTTCTCAGACTTATCTCTTGCTACAGAAATGTAAGATATTCAACTTAAACACAAGCCTGAATATACAACAGCACAAAGGTTCTCAGCCTGGGGTCAGCAAAAATGCTAATGGGGTCAAGTGAGATCTGTATGAACTCCAACTTATATATTCTTTATTTGTAAAAGAAAGTTTTCAAGCATCATTTTTTTGCCCTATGTTGGACCTACAAACAAAATATGCAGATTTTCTTGTGGATAAAATACAAAGTGAAATGCATGCTAAAAACGTGCCCTGCATGAAAAGGTTGAGAACCCCTGCAGAAATGCATTAATGAAACAAAAGAGAACAGATATCATAGTCCTAAGATTCTATACACAGTTCTAGCTACTTCAACATCATTTACTATAAGGTTCTGTGAACGTCTCTACGACACTCACAATCTTGAGACGATCGGTGTCTAAAGGTGAGCCTCAGATGACATCGACATACATCCTCAATGGGAATGGCCACCTGATGGACAGAAGAGAAAGAGTGAATACGAACCCAGGTGTAGCTCTTAAGTCCCTTTTACATGAGCCATGTTGAGGGCATCAATGCACCTCTTAGCACATGCGTCAGGAGTAACATTGACCTTGACAAGAAAAGCATTGCCAGAAGGGCAATTTTCTTGCTAGGCAGCATGATAATAATTTTTTTTACATTAAATGGAGTACCTTAACATTTATTTCACTCCTTTGCAGACTGTAAGTTCAATTATACATATTTCATACTTATTTTTGCCATTAAAACTGAAACTTTGGACATTTGATTACTTTTGATTTTGTTAAGTGCATTAAAGGTGATATATATATATATATATATATACAGTGGGTACGGAAAGTATTCAGACGCCCTTACATTTTTCACTCTTTGTTATATTGCAGCCATTTGCTAAAATCATTTTAGTTAATTTTTTTCCTCATTAATGTACACACAGTACCCCATATTGACAGAAAAACAGACATTTTTGCCGATTTATTAAAAAAAGAAAAACTGAAATATCACATGGTCCTAAGTATTCAGACCCTTTGCTCAGTATTTAGTAGAAGCACCCTTTTGATCTAATACAGCCATGAGTCAGTGCATATATACACACACACACACACTATATTTACATATATATATATATATATAAACAACTGATAAATCATTCTTTCTGTACATGATTTCCAAAAGTTGAAATTGCTGAACTTTGAGTAATAGGTCACAGCACTTGACCTGTGTGCAACATAAATCAGGGTCGAGCTGTAGATTGAGGCTTTGCATTAGAGAAGGCTGGCATGATATGAAAGGGTCTTTAGCGTCAAAACATCAAAAACCTAAACCCAGATGTCTTTGCTTTTGTTTTTTGTCCTGTGTTTGTACCTTAACCGTCTCATTCCAGCAGGGCTGCTTGACTTGATAGTAGATGACAGACTTGTATTCAGTGATCCCTTCATAACCAGCTCCAGGAAATATGGCTTTCTGAAGAGAGAATAAGAATGTAAAAAAAAAAAGCAACATCTACTGGAAGAAAATAGTTTTTCTTTCTCGTACAGTAAGTGGTTTGCAGCAATAAAAGTTCAATGTTAACAAGACCAGAAGTTGGCAGTACACAGCTTGAGTTAAAGGAAACTGGGCTGCATAATGTGCAGTATATAAAACAAGAACAAGACTGAAAGACAAGCTTACATCTCTTACAATAGGGGGAGATCTTTTTAGGAAAAGCTTTTCGGAATGAGTTTCTTGTATTTTTCCGTGTTCGCAAGTGTAAACAGGAAACGCTTATATGTGCATTATAGCTCGAAATAGCATTTGGCAAGAATGGAGCTGTAAAAAGCTTTCTGTGTCATGTGTTTGGACATTTAAAGACGCCAATCGTTTCATAAAGGAGAAAGATCTGCAAGCTGTTTTTATGCCAGCAACAGTTCTGCTGTCAAAACACAGAGATAAAGGGGGTGGATGAGCGCTGCATGCTAAATAGTGAAAGCTAAAACTGTTAGTCTACATAAATGAGAAGAACGGAGGACAATGGAACGAGATAAAGTGTTTTTTATTCATTTTCAAATGACATTTGAGGTATTTCCTAAAAAGTTAAGCCATGGTAATACCATGTTTTTTGTACACCTGCAAATTACTGATGCAAAAATATGGAACTGAAGCTGTTGTCAGACAACACTGATTTTAAATCAGGATTCACTTAAGGGTTTTAAAAGCACTATAAGCGATGGTGTGGAAATCAAGATATTAATGTTAGTTAATATGTAATATCACAAGGTTTCTGTACCTCCATGGGATTTCCTTCTTCATCCAGCACGCTCATTATAACTTCTACATTTTTAGGGGTCTTCTTCTTGCCACGATCAAATTCTCCTTGTAGCAGCGTAACATATATATCATTCCTTAAATA